ATTTAATATTATTTATTCCTTCTCAGTTGGTCAAATAGGAGGCCTATTACAATCATAATTTTAAAATTTTTACTAAAAACCACTCTGGTACATTTTACATGTGTATTTTGATGAAATACAAAGTTAAAAAATCACTGTGATATAAATTCCACAGAACATCAAGAAAGATGGCTTTAATTATAATACTTAGCTTTGAATAACTCTGTAAAAAAGTTTTACAAACGTCATTCCATTCGGTCCTTACCGCACAACAGAGTCATGGATCACAAAGCAGAAGGAACTCTTGAGGAGGTCCAGCCTCCCATCTCACAGTTGAAAACACTAAGATCCAAGGATAAGTTCAATTTCCCAAGGTCGATAGCTTTTCCACTTTCTCACCTTGCCTTTTCTGCTCCATGCTCCCTGTGTTATTCTCATTTTTCAGATAATCTAATTTTAGCCCCTTATCCAAAGTTGTGGAGACATTTAGTGAACTGGAACCCAGATCTCTGCCTTCTAGCATCATTTAATTCTACTCTAAAGTGTGGCCTGCTCTTAACCTCTCCTGGCTAAGGGGCCATTCCATCCTATTTCCTAGTTTTCAGGAGAAAAAGATACTTGTTACTGTCAAAAGGCGCTAAAGATGCCTGGAGTTCTATGGGTAACATCAGGATTATTAATAACCGACTCAGGAAATGAAATAAACATTCTGATTGTGATCTCTTTCTTTTTTAACTCTTTCTACAAGTTACACAGTGTGTGTTTAGCAAATATTGGTTGTACTGAATGGGATAGCAGAGAGGAAAGGTAGTGGATCTGCTGTTTTTTCGGCGAGGACTGAAGACCATGCCATGGTTGAGAGAGGACCTCATGGCCCAGCAAGCAGAGGATGTGCTGAGCGGCAGATCCATCCCCACCACTTCCAACCTTCGTGGCCTTGGGAAAGTTACTAACTTTCCTGAACTATAATTTTCTTTTCTGTAAATACCGTCTACCTTACAGAGATTTTATGCGGATTAAATCAGACAATGTGTGTATAGAGTCAGGCACACAGCAAACACCCACCAATTTACCCTTCCCTGCCCTTTGTGTCTGTCTGGGAGGTGGCTGGTCGCTGCTTCTCTGTCCCGTTTGAGAGCCGGGGCATTAAAATCAAGCTGATCTGTGTCTGGATAGTTTAGCACTTCTGGCACAGTCTGCAAACTTGTCTGAAACGCGGGGTGTCGCGGCTTTGCTTCACTGACATGTGTCACACGTGGAGCAGGTTGCCTAACAGCGCGATTCTCCCTTCTTTTTCCTTTCACAGGCCACTGATGCTACACACGGCATCCAAAAGAGAAAGGCAGGGAGCATTTTTTTTTGTCCAGTGAAATTTGATTGTTTTGAAGAACTCTTTCTACGGTAACATGCTGTGGAATAATATTTAGTTTACTAAATGGCCTTGAGTATTTTGTAGAGTAAATATTTAAAATCACCAAGTTTCTGTGGCTTTAATATATACAAATGATAGTACAGGGTCTCCCTCAAAAGCACGGGACACATTTGCCCCCGTATTCCCCACCTTTTCAAAACTTGTGGTTTTCTAAAGTCAGTGATGACGCAAGAGCAAGTTACACTGACTTAGGGGATCAGACATGTATGTTCCAGAATTCAAAACCAGAATCTTTAGACCTCGATGCTTTTGACATATTTTATGAAAATGTTAATATTTCATGATATATGTGCTTCCCATAAAATCTTTTATATCCAACATTTGAGACAAATTTTTAATTGGTTTTTCAGATTACCCTTTGGGTCCCAACTAAAAGAGAATGAAAAATTCCTTTATTGAAGAAAGTACAATTAATATTTAAAATAGCACTGCTTACTGTTGTAACAGTGGCAGTCACCTACGCCTGTATTTGGAAAGCAATGGTTGGTAGATGTCAGTCCACTGGGACCCTGATGGATTCAGTGCTGACCAAGACTTTCCCAGCCTGTGAATTTATCAAGGTTACAACAAGCCTTTGAATATATAAACCCTGCCTTTCCCCAAACATGCACATACTGTAGCCTAGAATTACTTGTACAGTGACTTCTATAATGGAAGGTTCAGTCTTGGAGGTTAGGGGTGTTAAGGATGCTGGGAAAAGCCTAGAGAAGAATAATAGCATTTCAGTGCAATACTGTTAAACATGAGAAAAATGGGTTTTGGTAACATGAATAATAACAGTTATTTCCAGATGTTTTAAAAGTGAAGTCTCCAGGATGTGCTATAATTTTGACTAAGTTTCTCAAAGAAGAAACTTGTAAAAGAAAGAAGGAAAGACACAGCATTAGAAATTAACAGGATAAATTATTGAGAGAATTAACATATCAAATAATATCAGCTCCTTAGAAAACGAGTCTTTAAAGCTGGATGGTCTCCTGATTGATCAAAACAAGGACTGTAGATGTGTTATGTGTTTATTGTATCTCTGTATGTGTGTATACAGGGTGTCCCAAAAAGTGTATACACACTTTAACAGCTGATAGCTCAATTTGGAAAATGAAATGGCATTTTAATAAACACTACCTTTATAATTATTCAAAGTGCATGTATACATTTTGCGGGACATCCTATATATGTCTAGGCCTCTGTATAATTAGTTATACTACCAGCTGGGTTATTGAGAGAAGATGCTGAGGATCAATTCTTTTAGGCAGGTGTAAGTCTTTTCTACCCTTTAAGAAAAAATATGCTACTCCAGTTCTTTAACAAATAGTGACTGGCTTGCTATAAAATCAAGAATTGGGGCAAGAAAAATCTTCCACTAAAAGTTAGAATTTAATATTCATAAGTGGTCAGTGAAGAGCCAGCTACTCCACACTGCCTTTTTTTCCTGTATTAATAAGGAATACTGATACAATCATGCTACTTTGTGCCCTTGGATATTCAGATTTTCTGGAGAAAGTAGTTTGAATCACCTCCTAGAAACATTGAGAGGAAGAAAGAAGCTACATAAATATCAAATAGGCAATTTTAGCTCCAAATCACTAGGCAGACATGGCATATAATAAAAATGTTGGCATAAAATAGTTACACAATATTAAAATACAAAACTATAAGGCTAATGTAATTCTTTTTTATTTCTCAATGTCATACATTTTTTCAAATTACCCCCCCCCATCAGATACTTTTTGAATTAAAAATAAGACATCTCACATATATACTACCAATACCCACAGACACACACAGGACCGTCTACAAGCTTCTGTGTTGCTTTAATAGTATGACAGTTGTGCTCACTTCTCAGCAATGCCAAAGTAATTTAATTCATGGAAGGAAATCACTCATTGTCAGTAGCTTAACAGATTTCTGCATTAGGCGTAGGTTATGGAATCTTTACCGTCTCCCTGATTTTGTTCACTTTCGTTTCAGTGCATGCATGTTGTGCATTTTGCATTCACTGTCAGTATACTTTGGGAGTTGGGTCTAATATTTGGAGTTGATGCCCTACAGATCCATTCTTTGAACATTCTATGAAGAGTGTTCATATTGTATGTTATCTTTTTTTTTTTTTTTGGTCTTTTTTCTTTGGCCTGTACAGGCATTCAGTGGAACCCCCCGAGTACAGACAGCTGACTGGATGAAGAAGACATGGGGGAAAAAACTTCCATTGTTTAGATTTCTGTCAGAGGATATAAGAATACTTAATTTCTTTTTATCTCTAGGGCTTTCATTATCATTTAAATTTCATTTTACATTAATTGATCAGGGATTAGTAAAGCCATTATGCAGAAATTAGAATAAGACAAGCCAGATGGAATGAATAATTCATGAAGTCCAATTACATTTTATTTCTGGTGTACTTTCAAACTTGCCTCTGACTTCTGTGCTATTTTGATGTGACAATATGCACTGGAAATCAAGAGTGCCATTTTAATTTATTGTATCCCTCAGGAGTGGAAGCATTTGTATGCAGCTGGGGGTGTACTAATGCAGTTCCCCAAGAAAACACCAATTTCAGGGCTCTTGGGAATAAAGACTGGCTGATCTAGAAAATGTGGCTCATCTTTAAGATTTCAGGTAGTAAGCTGAGCCACACTAGTCGACCTGACTTGGGTGCACTGACCCTAGGTGGAAAGACTAGGGCCTTGGAACCGTGAGGTTTTTCACTTCCCAGAAGAACTACAAATCCCTGGAAAATACGTGTCCCCTTCCCCCGCCGCCAAGGAACCATTAAAGAAAGTCGGGATTTGGTCTCGAGTTGCGCGGGAGGCAGGGTTGCAGCTGCACACAATGGCCACGAGGTGGCAGGCGGTGCCTTCAGTGCGAAGGGGCCGGGGCCACGGCGCCGCCGGGGCTCGCAG